TCGCGCAAAGATGTCAGAACATCATCCCTGTTCAAAAAGCACGTCTTGGCACCTTCCTTTAGGCAAGTGTACACATTCCGGAGCTATACGGCATCACCCCAGTAATTGATCGCTGCGACACGTTCGAACTCACTCAGCCAGTCGTCAACATCTTCATGCTGCTCTCCGTGAAAGGGGCTAGGCATGAGCGGGTTCTGGACGGTACAGTAGATTGGCGTGGAAGGTGTCAAAGCTTGCACGGGATCTTGTGTCGAAGTCATAGTCGCTGTGTCAGTAGTTGGTGTTTCAGGCGGTAGGCCTCGTTGGCGGCTTACCCTGTGATCAGGAGTGTCCACGGGTGCAGGGCTTGTGCTCCGGCTGCGGGGCGGGGTCTTGGGCATCGGGTAGATCGTGAGACGTTGTACCCAGCACTTCCACCAGTCTTGTCACGTTTCGCACGACAAACTTGATATAATGGGCTCGTTGAGTCGACCAGCCAATCAGCAGCTTAGATAGATCGTCTCACCGATCTCACCCAAGCAGACCATGTGACAATATTATAACTTTTCTGTACAATATTGCAAAGGTGCTGATATTGTCGTAGCGGACGCATTATCTCGGCTGCCAGTCTGGCTTTTGCCAGCACAGGCGCCAGAAGAAGAGATAATATCTTTGGTTGCTGCATGCTTATGTGAAGACCAGCTACAGGCAGCCACTGCTAATGATGGTACCTTCCAGCAGCTTATTTAATACATTGCTGAGGGTTGGCCTCCAAAGGAACATATGACTTCATTGCTTGTACCTTACTTTGCAGTGAAAGACAAACTGTCTTATGCCGATGGGCTCATTTTCCGCGGAGAACATGTTACAGTTAGAGAAACTTGCAGGAGGCAATTAATCCAGGCATAATCCGTACAAAACAGCTACTTCGTGACAGGTATTGATGGCAGTGCCTTGACAAACAAGTGGAAAGTGCGATTCAGAACTGTTACATCTGTCAGGCTGCCGACAAATCGGCGAAACCTGTCTTTGCACCCCTACAACCAGTTTCTTTTCCTGAGAAGCCATGGCAGAAGTTAGGCATGGACATTGTTGGTCCTCTTTTATATGTTCCCTAAGATTGTCGCTTTGCAGTCACTTTAACTGACTATTACTGCAAATGGCCTGAGGTTTGTTTCATTCGAGACTTTATGTCTGATGCAGTCATAACCATCTTGACGTCCGTCTTTTGCTGTGAAGGGTTTCCAACATGCTTAGCAACAGAAAACGGTGCCCAGTTTAAGTCTCATCAGTTCGAAATTTTTCTTTCCAAACGAAGTATTCGACACCTCTGTTCTTCCAACTACTGTCTTCTAGCGAATGGGCAGGTTGAGTAGTTCAACAGGGTCCTGAAAGAGTACATTCAACTAGCCTAACTAGAACAACGTCCTTTAAAGAAGGCAATCACAGAGTATTTGGGCACTTACAGTTTTTCTGCCGATGCAACTACGGGATCGTCTCCCGCGATGTTGCTTCATAAGCATCAACCTTGCACAGCGGTTGACATAACTGACCTGCCGTTGCTGTCTACTTTTCAGTCATTTTCGGACAATACCATAAGGGCGCGAGTTCTTCATAGGCAGAAGTACATGAAGAATTATGTGGATCAGAAGCAAGGAGCCAAACCTTCAGTCATTCAGGTTGGCCAGAGAGTCAAAGTATGTGTTCCAGGGAAAAAACACAAGTATAGAGGTCCGTTTACTGTTATGTCTGCAGTGGGGTCCCAAGCATTTAAGCTCAGTGATGGATCAGTTTGGAATGCTTCTAAACTTGTAATCGTCCATTCCGAACGGGAACCACCTTCACACTTGCACTCTTCAATACCTTTGCAGAACCAGTCGCAATACTCTGCCTCGGTTCCACAATTAGTTTCTATCCTTATTCCTGCAGCATCACCATCTTTCCCAGGGAAAAATGGTATTCAGGCACCGGTTGCAAGTCCGGCTGTGGTGCCCAGCCACCAGGAAGTTTTACCGTGCACCGCCATGCTTCAGAGTCCTCGGACTCTTCCGTCTCAATACTTGACTGACGAGCCCAGTTCCCATGCTAGTATCCTTCCTAACACTAATAGACGTGCTTTCGAACCTTCAGGTTCCCATGTTTCGCGTCAGGGTTTTCCGCCCCCAGCTGCAACTGAGAAATGCTTAAGCGAGTCGTCGGACTCCAGTTATTCCTGTACGATCTCAGCTGTGCCTTAGCAGCGGGTAAGCGAGCCAGTAGGCTCCTCACAAACCGAACTTGCTGTTCCGCAAGGAAGCACTTCAGAGCGCAATGAGCTTCGGCGTTCTAAGCGTTCACGTAAGAAACCATTCAGGTTTAAGGACTTGGTGTCCTAAATTCTTCTTTATTACTCGCATGTTGGAATCTGTACCATACGTGTGCATTGTTGTGTGTATGCTGTACATTTATTTATTGTATAAGGGTATAAGGGATACACTGGCATGCTGTGATGTTTTGTTGTATGTTGTTCATATAAGTGCTTTCAGCCATGGTGCCCTGTGTACATAGCAATGTTTTTTTCTTCTCATGCCACTTCTCTCTTCTTCGATTGGTTACTTTGCGACAAAATGAGGGATGGGGGATGTTAAGGTTGTAAATACAGTAGTATAAGGTTGTACAAGTTCTATGTGTCATACCACTCCTCTAAAATTGTATAAGATTATATAAGTTACTTATGTGCCATTAATAATTCTAATAATAATTTAAAATAATGATAACAATCTTCATTAATCATTATATAAGGATCTTAGAGCCACATACCCCTTTTATTCTAAGGGGGATGATGTGATGTTTCGGTTTCCGTTTCATGTAGCATTTTCGCCCTTAGGGGGCGCTACCCTCTGTATATATGCATGGCATTGTATATAATAAAGGAGTTCCTGCTTGGCTACCGGCTGCTGCGTATTTGTTGTCGGCCGGCGCTTCAGCGCCATGCCCTGTGTTCTCTGTGAGGCGCCTCCGCCGCACAATACTACAGCGGGGGGACCTTCCCCAACCCCTTCAGCTACGGCATTGATGACGAGCTTACCAGACACGTAGACTACACTAACGCCCAAAGGTTATCCTATGGTACGACATGATGTTGGTACTCGTATCAGAGCACAGGTGTCAGTTTTATCAAAATGAGCTGCACGCTTTGGTTTGATGATGAGCGATGAGAAACAGTTTTCATTATAGATATTCGTCTGAGTTATGCAATGATTGACCATAGCTTCACGAGACATAGGAGTTCACATAAAATTTTTGTGGTGCTGTTACAACAGCTGATAGTGAACACTAGTTCATGTTGGTGTGATACGATGCCGTCTTTTTTGTAAGCTCTTTCAAGCACTCTGTAGTAGAATATGTGACTGCCACACAGAATGCCTGAGTTAAATTCCTGCTCTAACCACGGTTTTCAGTCTTTCTGTCTCTTTGATTTTTTGAGCGGGAGGCGTTCCGCAGTGATTACAAAAAGCTCTTAGGGTTCACTTTCTGCGTGAAAGGCCAGAATTGTGAACTCTGGCGCAGTTGATGCAACTAAAACTGGACTTAACACAGCAAGGTGCAGAGTGGCTGAATTGCAACAAAAAATTGTGCAAATGGCACAGTTGGACCACCCTTGACTGAGAGGTACACATTTCCAAGATTTTGTGGTCTAAACACATGGCAAACTGATCGAAACATAGTTGCTGTAAGTTTAGCAGTTTAGCTTCATTAACCTTTTATTGTCGGGTGTCGGAAAATGCGACACACCGAAAAATGCCAACCATGCAAGCCCCGAAATTCGTGCTGCCTCATTTGCGGTAAACATGCCTTTCAGCATGACACATCTAGCGCCATCTTGTGTAAGGTATTCTAAGCTAACACCAAATGTTTTGTAGCTGATGGCAGAGTGCACAAAGCACATGCAGCAGCTCTCACTTCTTCATTCTTTTTTGCCTGAGTGATCAAAGTTAAATCTTCTATAAAATTGTTTTGGTGTGCACACATCAAAGAGGTTGCAAACGACACGTTATGTTTTTCTGTAGTATGTTTTTTCTTGCACGATCCTCGATTTTGAGGTATGTTGCGAATTCGTCACATCCGGCATTTGGCAGTAAGTGGTGACGGCTGGTATGAAGAGTTCGTATTTTATTTATTGATAGATGATGGATGTCCACTCATTTTATGGAAAAATAGAGCTTTGCACGCCCTTGTCACCTCAAGATAAAGGTTACATAGCTGTCTTAGTGACAGTGAAGACGATGATATCGATTGTAATGCTCATACACAAGCATGAGTGCCTTCATCAAGTAGTGAGGATGAAAATGCAGTACATGAACCAAGTGTGTGTCTAAAACATACAAGGCAATGAAAAAGAAAGCCTGTCAAGAGCAGCAGAAAATTTCACATTTAAAAGCTGCTCTTTCTTAGTATGACACTGTCCGAGGTTCCATTGATGCATTGCCAATTTGATGCGTTGCCTTCATGGGTTACACTGTTGAACAGAGTGATATTTTTGCGACACAAAAAAAAATCCTAACTAAGGACTGGCTCGACCTCGTAATGAGCTAGATCAATTTCACGGCACCGTCCTATTTATGTCATTTCTGACTCCCCAAAAATCTGCTATAATAGCAGGCATAGCCTAGGGTTCCCACACAGTCGCCGACACGATATCACATGGTCACTGAGGAAACAATCTAGCCAAACTTGCATTTAAGCAAGTAAGTACAATCCATCACCTCATGACACATGCAAGAATTGTCTTTTCAAGGTTTGACTTTGAACGTTCTCTGTATTGAGACACATAATGGCTTAAGTGCCTGCTACTGTGAATTTGCAACATACCTAAAAGTATGCATTAAAATTGCATTTCGGACAATTTAACTGCAGAGTTAAGTAAAAGCTGATATTTAATGCTCAAAAACGAAAAGTGAAGTTTATCTTGGTCAGTTTCATAATTCAGGCATTCAAGGGTTTATGCCATTTAATGCAAAACAGTAAGGAATGTTGCCTACGTGTTTGCATCAGTGCCTGATGAGAGTGGTCCATCAGCATTGGCTCCTTTGTCTTTTTGGTGACCCAGTGTAGAGACTGAGAAGACAATGCAAGAAGAATAGTTGTAAAGGGTGTCGAATCATAACATGAAGCACTATTGCAACCACACAAAGAATGAAGTTCAGAAAATATGTTCAACTGCATTTTCGCTTTTTATAATTTGTTTTAAACAATTAACTACATCTAGACTATTGAGCAATTTTTTTTATTATTTAATGGTATTAAACACACTTAAATAAGTGACAATACTACAACACATTTATAATTGTAAAAGTGACTAATGTGGTTCAGCCTGATTGGTAATAGTTTGCATGGTATGCTGCATTGACAGCTTTTACAGGTTTCAACTTAGGCTAATTAAAGGCACACAAAGCAATCAATAGAAACCTTTACAGCACAAGTGCAGTAGAGTAGGGTAAACTGTTAGCAAGCCATGTAGTTATGCATTTCAGCTCATTTATACGGTCAGTCATGCAAAGACTTCATATGGTGGTTTTGGGACGTTAAACCCCACATATCAATAAGTCATGCGAAGACTTCAACAGATTTAGTCATGCTCCCACAACTTTTATCCAATCTCGCAGAGTACCTTGCGGCACAAATTATGATTGACTATCTGTCAATGGGTGAAATTTGCATAGATTGATGTCAACGTCCTGAAAGCTAAGTTTAAAACAGAAGTGTTAGAATAAGTTATAGTGTATTTAATAGCAACAATTATACAGTCATTGTACAATCAGTCATGCTATATTTCTTTAAAAACTGAATATAACAACCCACTCAAATTACATGTAATAGTTATCTGTTGGCAATGAGCATTATTAAAAAGGTAAAAAATATTTTGAAATTTATGCCAAAATGCCCCACAGTCAACGTTCTGTTAAACACAGTACTGCTTTCACTAAAGCAATTTTTTGTAGCAAAATACTGTATTTTAACTCGAAGTGATAAAAAACTTTAGGCAACAAGAACGCTTAATTTACCATAAGCTCGGTTCTTTCAGTCCCATCCTTGCCAATAGTGCACAGAAATGGCAAAAGTAAGTCGCACCTCCAAATGAGCACACCGTGTTGCAATTGCATAAAAAGGAAACAAGGAAGCCATACTGGTAGCGTGCGCAAACAATTTTTTCAATTCTAGTTATGTACTTTCTCACATGTTCCGGCCAATCTTACACTGCTTTACTTTGTCCTTCATTATGTGTGCCTTTTATAAAATGAACCAGCACTGACTAACTTAGCTTCCTGATATTCTGTAGCCTCTCCTGAACACACCTTTTGTACGGTGTACACGTATCTTGAAGGATTACGGCCACTAGCGTGGGTCCGGTCTTAGCGAGTTGCAGAGCAAGCGTTAACCATCGCCGTGGCGAGAACACTGTACTGCTCAAGGTTGCAACACTTTATTACCTGCGGCAGCACCAAAAACGCAGTACAGAGCCTGTTGCAAAGGTGTGGCGGGAAAGCAAATGGGCTTATCCATGCCACGGGCGAGAAGTACTATACAGGGGGGCCGCGAGCACGTCTCCATGGTAAAAGTGATTCACAGAGGCACCAGGACAAAGGCCCGGATGCTCGAGCAAGGGCAAAGGTGCTCGTGTTGGTTTCGGAGAGATACGGGTCAACGGAGTTTGACCACTCACTAGGACACCGCACCGCTGTTCGGCCTAGAGTTCGAAAGGGGCGACAAAAGGTAAGCGTTTGCCGCAGGCGCGAGGCGCCATTAGCGAAGTTCGAACGAGCCTCAAACAAAGTGGGCTAGCCTTGATTCCCACATTTGTAACAGTAAGCCTTCCAAATTATTATTGAGAAAGAAGGAACACATGTAGTGCACACACTGAAGTTAGAGATTGGTACCCAGATAAAATAGACAAGCCAGAGAATCTAGTGGTGCTTTTAAAGCCAAATGAAATCATGGTTATGAGCTGTCATTAATCAGCATTTAAACAAAGTTAATTACTGTGATTATTATTCCTATTTCAAGTATTCTATCAGTTCACTTCACTTGTTTGCTTGCCGCAACCAATAGAGCTTCCTACAAAATTACATGAAAATTACACTGAAACCATTTAGCTACCATGAAAATGAGAATTAAAATATCAGTTTGAGTAATGTTCCTGCCTGTGCTTTCAACAATGCTTGTGACATTATTTATTGCACATAATTTTTGTAGATTTACAAGCATAAATTTTTTTTAAACTAAGTACTGCATACAATTAACCACTGTACATATGCACTAAATGATTGTGAAACCATTTAGCTACCATGAAAATGAGAATTAAAATATCGGTTTGAGTAATGTTCCTACCTGCGCTTTCAACAGTGCTTGTGACATTATTTATTGCACAGAATTTTTCTAGATTTACAAGCACAAATTTTTTAAAAACTAAGTACTGCATACAATTAACCACTGTACATATGCATTAAATGATTGTGCCTTGTTTTGTTGAATATTATGCACTATGTTGGAAATGATCATTGCGCTGCAGAATTGCAAAGCCATTTGAAGCCAGGAGAAAAAGTTGTCATATCTGTGTAATGTCCATTAGTGCTATGGCAACTGAACCTCCGTACTTGCAGGTCACATCAACACGAGAGTTCTCTCCAGTAATTTTTTGTGGGAAACACTATGCTACAAACAGTAGGCTACAATAAATAGGTAATCATGATAGGCAAGCTCTTCAACATGTATACATTATAATAGCTTGCTACTGTACGCAGTATTTCATATGATAAACTGGTGAAATGGTAAGTAGTACTATCAGTTGAGAGCAATTATTCCACTGTGCATGCCAACATTTTCCAGCTGAATAAGTGCAGTTCACCCAATTCTTTTTACATCTGTATTTGAATTACATTAAAACTCATCGAAGTCAGAACGAGCACAGCGTCAAGAAACGCAGGAAGACGACATGCAACAATAACACATAAAATAATCACTGTCAACTGTACATGTAACACCAAGGACAGATCACCAACATCGCCAAAGCTTTACAAAAAGAAGTACTGTAAATGTAATGGATCACTCTTAGAACAACAATGCGGATTCGTGTTATGAAAGAACGCTGATATTTTTGGCACTGACCGATTTAGTTTCGCACCTCTCTCACTTAACATTATAGAGCCTGTATACTACAAAGTAAGTAAGCAACCCAATAATTTTGAATACTTTTAAATATTACAAATGCAATTTCAAATATTGAATAATTTTAAAAGAGCCAATTCGTTCATTACTTTTTGTCTTTTCGGACGGGCGGGGCAATCGCCTGCAAATTATGCAAGGCTAGATCTGCCGACTACCTACAACATCCTAATCCTAGTCCTAAAGTCTTTTGAATTTATCTTACAGATTTAGGACAGAGTAGCTACTGAATACAATTAACAATGTGGCAATTAAGCATCTCAGTAAAAAAAAAGCGCCACGTAAACTTACAAATTGTTAGTTCAGCAGCACAATGACTTCATTTTATTTTGTTTGTTAGTTCAAAGAGTTTGTCCTGTGGCATATGTGGGTACTTAATAAAACGTATGAAGGCCCTTCTTGTGTAAGAGCTCGTTGAGAGGCTGTGAATAATCATTTATGAAAGTTCAGCATTTTTAAATGTGCAATACAGAAAGGCTGCAAAATGAACATGTAAACAGTGCTGATTATTTTGCTACGGTTTCACATCAAAAATGCACAACAGAACAGAACATAAGCAATTTTGTAATTTGTTAATTGCAGCTACGTACTTGCCTTCTATTCTCACAATAAAACTATTCGTCAGTATAAAATTTACAAGTTATAATTACAATTGTGCATGCAGGGTGTTGCAGCTGTCCTACAACCAAAATTAAAATACACACACACAAATTATACTATGCCATTAAGATCAAGTGCATTTTATTGAGAATACTGTTGAGAAACCATCACGTTTATTTAGGTACTTTCACATGTAGTAAAAGCATTTGCTTTTTTTTTGTACCATCTGTGCATAGTATGTGGCGGTATTGTAATAAACCATAAGAGATATAAAAAAATTGTAAATGAGGCATTTACAGAAACAGAGAAGTACTACACATTACATTTCTTGCTTTTACAGGCAAATGAAGAAATATTCTGCAACATAAAAAGAACATGCTGCCATGCACCTCTGCACATGGGAGAGCACTGCCAAGAAACAGTCTCAGTGATAAATCAAGATAATAGTCTATGATTGAGCTGAAAAGCAGGTTTTTAGGTAGCCTTAAATGGCAAGCCTCAGATGAACACCTTGCTTTCCCACTCGTTTCATGATTTTCCTGCTTTGTGAAAAAAGTAAATACCATGAGCATGTGCACTTTGCTGGCCATGACTCGTTCAAGATTCCTTCTCTATAATAACCTAACTTGCCTTTTTACAGATACAAAAATGTTTAATTTACCTTATTTATCTAATTAATCTGACAATGAGGCCCAGAATATTACTGAAAGTTTCTGAACAAGGTTCTTAACTATGCACAGATGGTATACTTATTGTGTTGAACGATACTTTTTTTTTTTCTCTTGTTCTTTTTCTTTACATATTTTTTACTTGGTGCATAATAGCTGAGCAGACACCGTCTATATGTCAAAATATTTAAGACACTGAAGATGAGGGCCACGCACTGGCTGCAGATTTCATTTTCTCAGAACACTTCTAACAATTAGGCAGACGAGTATTTCTTTCCCATGCAATATCGCAGAAGTTAAAGCAGTAATAAGCACATCCTGTACAAGTCAACAATGCAGTCAAAGAAATAGACTAATTCATAAGTATTCCACATCCAATTAAAAAATTCAATCATAGCAATAAACAATTAGTCATCACAATACAGACAAGAACGTACCGTCACATTAAGGTTGACGTACTGCTGAAACGACATGCCGAGGCCTGACTTTTTCCACTTGTCATATTTTTTACGCTTTTCAGGGTTCAACAGGACATCACGTGCTTCCTGAATGCTCTGGAATTGCCTAGCTGATTGCAAAGAGAAAGAGGTATGTTTTTATTAAAGCATCAGCTATACAAATTTTTGAACCTTAATTTTAAAAATACTATTAGGAGTAAACATTCACATTTAGTGAACTAAAAATCTCATATGCACTACGTTCTTATGAAAGACGATACTTTTTTTTTTTTTTCAGGAAACAATTTAGCAAAGGAATTTTGGCCTGGAGTTCCAGTTTTAAAAATCTTTGCAAACTGCATTTTGGCAGTATGTGTACAATAAAAGATCCATGTGAAAGCAGCAAGCAAAATGTTTCACAACTGCATTCGCCAACATATGGCACCTCGTCAGTAAATCAACTCAACAGATTCCATTTATGCCGGTGGAGACAATAATGATGCTAGTCTAAGGCTATAGTCTAGCCAAGACTATCTCATACTAAGGCTAGACTAAAATACTAATGGCTACACCACTGTTCAGTCAGTTTTCAAAGCCAATAAGCTATTAGAAACTAAAAAGTCTACAGCGCTTCAAGCGTTTAAGGTTTCCAACAAGAGTATGCGCTAAATTGTACGCCATGCTCATGAACACATAGCGTAGCTTTCTTTACAAAAAACAGCATGAGCACTTGGCTTTTTGAGTGTTGACTTATATAAACTAGAGCTCAAGGCTTGCAAGCATGATTAAACATACTTGGCTTTCTCTCTACATAAAAGTACCAGAAGCTAAGGCACAACAACCATTTTCTACTCAGCATATAGCTTCAATATTTTAAAGGGACCTATAATGTAACCTTGCAAAAGCTCAATGAGCCCTCTGAATACCAAGAACATAAATCTCAACATAGCAGTTGGCGACAGAGCTCACAAAGATGACCCCACCCACATTATCACCATAATCACATCCTCATAAACAATCAATGAGAAATAATTCTAAATGAGCATTAGAAATATATTGTTCTATCTCAGATTCCATATTAATCTAGAATGCTTTAAAATAACCCCTTGGTCATTCAAGCCTTTTAGGTGCATTATATATCGCCTATGAAGTAAGGCAAATGGGACAGCTCATATGCATATACCACATGCTATTGTGCACAAAAACCTTCATACACGGGCCCTTCTGTTCTTTACTTATCAAAATACAATCCCTTCCCTCATCATAGAATTGAATAACGTGCACAAAATTAGACAAGAGAAAAAAATGTGCCAACGTCTACTTGGTGTATACTTTACTGCTGAAGTGCAATTTAATAAAGTAACAAGGCGGAAGGCTATGCAACAAGAGAGGACACCCTCACTACTGCCCGAAATACATTCCCCTGCTCTTCAAAATTTTTTTCTTTATGAAATATAATTTATGCAGATCGCTGACACTCCCCCTTCTTGTGCTTGTCAAAACAGCCAACAGTACTAGCATGCAGCCATAATGGAGCCTTTATTTATAAGGTACTCACACTAGCTGTCAAGCAGAACTGCATGAAAAGCACTGAGGCTACAACCCTGAATAGTGTGGTAGAATTATTTTTGTCCAATGCTATTATTTTCCTGTATCACTCACAATTGGCCAAGCCTAATGATAATGTAAGTGGACCACTGCTCAGGCCACAAATCGCATGAAGAAAGAAAAAGAATAGAATCATATTACATCACCCTGGTCCTCCTTTGCCATTCTGCATGCACTTTGCAACTCAAACATAATTACTACATAACACATGCTTCTCACAATGTACTGTCATGCAAAATAAATGAATACAAATTTCAACCAGTCCAGTCACTTTCAAAATGTATATTCACAGATTGTAGTGTTTGGTTTCAAGACTAGCCTGGTAATTCAATCAGAGCTGCCCCAGTGCATGTATAATATATCAAGTTTACCTGATAGGTAATTAAATGAAAATGTAAGAAAGCACACCATGCAACACACCTTGTTTTTGTGGTGCTATATAGATTGCAACAAAAACACCATCTGTAGACTAGGCCATAACTAAGTGGGAGATGAGGGGATTCAGACAGCCCCAAAGTTTATTCATGCTTTAACTTTTCAAGTGACACTAAATTACTTACATACCTTCAAATCAACCACCAGTGGCCAAAGTTAGCACTTCTACACATAAACATCTCCCAGAGAAAAATTCCTGGGTGGATTAATCACATATTCCATGCGCTCAGGATATTGAAAGGGTACCTGCTTTTGGGTCACCTGGGTTCTTGTCTGGATGGAATTTAAGAGCTTTTACTTTATACTCGCAGAGGAGTTGTTCATCCTACAATGAGGCCAAAGTAAAAAATTAGATCTCTTATGAATTCTTGTAAGCATACACAATTTTTTGCAAGTAATTCAATTGTTTCATGCAATATATGCTGTTATATAATTACTCATCTCTTTATGAATACAATCTTGAACTTATGGCAGCTATGGAGCTTAATTAAATTTACAAATCACACCTAAGTGCTGATTATTGTGATATGAGAAAGGCCTTAATTTAGTGCTAGGAAATTCAAGTGTATGTTTAATGCGTTCATGAGATTGTAAAAGTAGACGTGGGTGATGCATTCACATGCTACCAAATGCTGCCTTTTATGCATAGCTTTTTTCCTGATCACCCCCCCCCCCCCCCAAGCTCAACATACCAATATATTCAGTTTCCGCATGTTCAATACGTGAAATTATTATGCTCACTAGTCCAAAAAATGGCAGGAAGGGGCAGATTTAAGCTTGCGATGAAAAAATCCGTAAAAATAGGTTATGTGTTCGAGCCCATGTTTGGACAGGTGGACTTGTCTTTTTTTTCGTTCTAGCCTTAAAAATGACAATTAAGTCCATTTGTCGAAACGTCGGCTGGAGCACACAATTTACCCCTGTTTACGGATTCTTTCATTGTATGATAATGTAGAATCTGGCTAATAGCATAGAGTTTCTTACAATATTTGCTGGCGAAAGGCCTTTCTCATATCAGAATCAGCTGCACTTGGTTATGATTGGTAAATTTAATTAAGCACCGCAGCTGCCCCACATATGCGCATCGGCAAATAAATATGTCCGAAAAATAGTGCATATATATTAAATAACGCCAGCTCGTAGAATTTGTCTTTTGTGCAGCTCGAGCTCGCCTTTGCTACCGTCTTACGCATTTATTTTCGTTGTTCTAGGAACATAAACGTGATGTGCGAAATGTACCAACTTACGTATTTCTGAAAAACAAAGCGATCGAATTAAGCGAAAATAAAGTTGGTGGCATCCTGAGAGATCGAGGATGCAAAAAAAGAGGGACGAACATCAGCGTTGTAAAAGAAATATCAGCAAAATTACGTAATTCATGCGATACTTTTCGGATATTCATTTGTCCACCATGCACCAGTTCTAACTGTGTTCAAGAGTCGGCTGTATTATTTTATACGCATCCAGGATCGGTAAATAAAATTAATATTATTGCATTACAAGTTCGAGTGAACGCTCATGCGACAGCCTCCTTTAAACGCAAGCAGCAGTTCGAGCACATATTCGAGCTAGATAAAGCGAAAGGAGAGAGGCTAAACAAGTTTCCGTAATCAGCCACTTGTTGATCACTGGACGACCTCGCGTGCGAGCCTTATCAATTGCAAGCTTTCCACGAACTTGCTCTAGATTCACCTCACAAGTAGAGTGAACTCTAAGCCCGATAAAGGTGCGTAGTATTCAAACACAGCATAATGATTGAATTGTTCAGTAAATATACGTACCGACGAGAGTTCGTCACAACCAAGTATCTCGTAGTAGTCTGGCTGCGTGTTACAAGGGCCCTTCATAACATTTTCCAGAAAGGATTCCATTAGCACCAAATAGATTTACTTTCGCTGATCCGGGTCAGATATGCTCAGCACTCGGGTAACTTTACACTATTCGCAGATCAATAATATGGTTTCGCATCGCGGTCAGTCGCGGTCACCGCGGTCTGCCCATGTTATGTCTAGGGAACTAGGGATACAGACTGTGCTAGGTACAGCGCATGATAAGAGCTATTTCTCTAGCTTATCTGTTTTTAAAAGTTAATTGGGCGGAAACCGGCAACAGCGGGAGCGGCAGGAAGGGTAAAGAAAGCTCTCAAGACTCAAAAGCCACGCCGCCACCACCACGACCGACAGCTAGTGTTGACCTGCCGCCGGATTCCGAAGTGTTTGCGGACGCCTCTTCGGTCTGCATTGCGTTTCACAGCGGTAGTGCGCGTCGGTTCGTTTCTATCATTTATTCTCCGTTTACGTCTGGTAGATCACTCGGCCTGTGGCCCTACGTAGTCAATGTGTTTCGGCATGCACCTTGCACTGTTCACCAAAGTTCACGACTGCATATTTTGTGTACTTCCACCTGTCAACAAACACGCTGAACCGTTTTTCTACAGGTTACGTCCTTTGGCGCCGGAAAAGTCAACTGACAAACACAACTTTGCAGTCTCTGCGGCGACATGGCGAGCAAGGTACCTCTCGTGACTCTTTCATCAGGATACAAGATTCCCACGATTGGCCTTGGAACTTGGAAGGTAACATACATGTCCGGAAAAAGCGGCGCGCTTTTCAAATTAAACGTGTGTTGGGCAAAATGAGCAGCTTTCATTTTCTCCCCCGATTATTTAGCTTTCGTCCAAATAACTAAATGCCCTTTTAAAAAGATGCTTATGAGAGATGAGCGGCTAGAAATTAATGGTAAAGCCATCGTGATCCAGTATAAAGGGGAAACAAAGTATATTTACAACTAATACAAAATTCAAAGTAGAAAAAAATTAATGCCTAATTCTTGAGTTTCTCTAAATTAAATAAGGTTAGTTCGATTACAAGTTAGTGCAAGATTGCATCTTGTCCGACTGGAGCATGCAATATATGAGAAAAAAAAATTCTGCACGCAGCACTGTCTCCCAGTGTTCTCGGACCGGAAAAAAGCTTTAGGATACCACGGGGAGATATAGATTTCGCGAGACATTGCTAACCCTAAGCGTTTGTGCATGCAGCTCATATTGACCTTGTGATGTTCATGCATATGTTAAGACTTCGATGCTTTTGCATTTGAATCATGTTGGTGCAGCAATTTCAAACAGATTATTTGAGAAATAAGATATCAAATTCCTTACAAATGTAATGAGTGAAGCAAGATAGTTGGCAAAAATTTTATGTTATGCATTTATGGAGACCTTGCGACTGTGTGCCACTCATAATTCAAAGAGTGGACGTTCACATACAAGGATCGAGCATCTGTTCATATATGCCATGTTGCAACTAGGGCAAGGCAAGGTGGTACAAATGCCTAGGGCGCCACTTGGGAGGGGTGCCAAGCCGAACCCTGCCCAATATGGGCTCGAGGGCTTCCTGAGGACCCAAACGGGGGCATTAGTGCCCCGCGTCCCGTGGAAAGGTCACCCATGCAGGTTCAAAACCAGTAAAAGCACGTGGCCACACTGTTTCAACAACACCCCCTTCCTTGCTTTCTTCTCCCCTGGTACCACCCAGGAGGCTAGAGACTCCTTTTACCAGCTAGATATTGCTCATTTCCTTTAACAAACGCAACACAATCTTCTGTGAGCAAAAGGTCGCCCGTACAGATTCAAAACCAGTAAGAGCATATGGCCACACTGTTTCAACACCCCCTTCCTTGCTTTCTTCTCCCCTGGTACCACCCATGAGGCTAGAGACTCCTTTTACCTGCTAGATATTGCTCCTTTCCTTTAACAAACACAACACAATCTTCTGTGAGCCTAGGACTTCTGGGAACCTGTGGCTCACATAAACAAGGAGCCCATGGCTCCTTGCTCATAATCAAGCCCATGAAAAACAGTGAGATAAATAGGTCTATGTAAGCCTGATTCCACATAATCAGTATTTTAATCATGAATGTGCGTATCCAGGGCCCTGTACAAAAGCTTTCTTCTCGTTCTGTGTTCACTTTGTGATCTGGCTTGTCTTCGTATGTGTGCAGATGTATATACAAGTACAAAGGTAATAATATCGGCGCAGTAGGAGGTAGAACTGCCCAAACCTCCTTCTAGCTTGGCCACTGAACTTATCGTTTGAAATGTTAGTTTTCTTCTGGTTTGGCCCAGACCACCTTGGTCCTTCAACCCTAGTAAAATTTGAAAGGAAAAGCGCTGCCCAGCCCATGGTGTTATTGCTGGAGAGTTGGAATCGAGAAGTTCTTTACCATCTCATCAGACATGTCAGTATCCAAGCTTACAGTGACTTTTATAGGCATATGTCAAGATCTAAGGAAAAAAAAAAAGTATGTATAGGCTTTTCTACAATGTTTCATTCTTACCTTTTTCAAATCGGGAACTTGTTCACATACTGCTTTTTCCTATCAAATTGCATCACATCTCCTCATTTTTCTCTGTTTATGGGTAATTTCCCCATGGCACTTTCCTCGATCAGCATGCATTGGAGGGGGTTGACTATGACGAATGAATTCCCCAAGTAATTTTTTAGAAGACTTCAACGTATTCATGTCTTCACGTGGAGAGGGAGGTGTCGCATGTGAACTCACTATCACTCACCAAATTAACATTTGTGTTCCCTAGTGTGCAGACAGTCACCTTCTCGGAAGTGCTTGCAGCAAACACACGCGTAGGACTTTGGTTAATTGACCCTTCTAAGCTAGCTTTATCAGCCATGTGTCTAATGTTCGTTATTTTTTAAGTAAAAGTGTAAATGTGAAAATACATTCTGCTCTTTTACATGTGTGGTGCATTAATTGTGGCATGCAGTCACAGCGAAGACATTGGTCACGCTTTCTAAGCTCTTTGTTTGTAGATGCCAGTGCACATGAAGTGGTTGTGAAACTGGGCTGATTGAAGGGGGAAACGCAGAGAAATAAAAGTGCTCGAGACGGCGGCGACCCGTCTTTAAAGCGAGGGGCCATCATGTGAGCGTGATGTAGCATATGTCGACTGCAGCGCCCGTGTCTCTAGTGGTTGGCCTCATTCACACTATAGCACCAAAGAGATACAGAAAGTAAAACTGCAGTGGCAAATTGCCCTTTTGTGATCACATCCATGCCATTATTGCTGTCAACTGAGCTTGAACAAGAGAGGAAATTGTGAAAAACTAAAGGATATGTACTATTGGCATGCAGTGGAATGTGAACAGCAATAGGCATTAAAAATTGTATAGTGCGCACCCTCTAGTAATCACCTTTGATAGGTGCACATCAGCCCTATTTGGCATCACTGCTATTGTCTTGGACCTCATTATAAAAGAACAATTTATTTTGGGACGTTAAACCCCACATATCAATCAAAAAAACAATTTACTAACACATGATAAAACACAGGCCACACAGGCTAAACTCAAACGTCACACAGGCCAAACACTGCACGAAAGTCTCTCCTTCGCGTCGACGTCTTCCTTCACTATCTACAAAAGGCATGTGCATTTCTAACGTTCGGCCATCCTGCAATGCTTAATGTCCTCGTTAAGGATCTCCCGAGAATGTTCATGACTGACTTTACAAATGTTCAGCCATCCTCTCACGTGAAATACCTCATAAATGACACACGAAAGAAACAAAATGAAGAATCAGAAAACAACACAAAAAAAAACGGCTACACTTTATACACTAGAGTGTCAAGTTCTTCATCGCACGCAGAAGTTTGCCCATTCGTAGCGTGAAACATGCAAGGGAATGTCATAGTTTCTGGCCATCTTGGCTGGCTTGTCCTTGGAGAAAGGCACAACACGCACGATGCTGGTGTTTTCTTGCCTAGACTTGGCTTTGATGCTTGGTCCAGCTTGCGCTTCAGCTTTTAGCCCGTCTGCGGTGAATCTTCCTGCCGATTTGCTCTGGCGTTTCTCATTTTTTTGATGTCGTTTGGCTCTGTTGTTTTCGGCTCAGTATCTTCCTTTGGGTCGGTCCAGGACTGTTCATTCCCTTTTCTTTCCGTCTGCTCTACGGCAATTTTTTACGATTTTTCTAGTGTCTCGTCTTCCGTATTGTAGTCTTGGCTTGGTTGGTCTTCCGGCTTTTTGTCTTCTGCAACGTCACCTTCCTCCTGATTATCCTTATGTGTCACCTTTTGTCCCTGGGCTGCTCCTTTGGCATCTTCCTTTTTCTTTCCTTCTTCACCGCAATGTACTGCTGTTTCTTTCGTCGTTCCGGGTTTTTCCTCGCTGTCTTTTTCCGTAGCACCATGTTGCAAGTCTGTCTGCTTTTGTTTGCCCTCAGCTTTGGCTTCATTCCTGTCTTCCAGCTTTTCGTTGGCTCCAGTAGACACCTCGAGCTTTAGTTCTTCACCTATCTTTGCAGTCTGTACCTTACTATCTCCGGAGTTCTCGGCGTGTGGCGGGGTTCATTCGAAAAACGGGTTCACGTGTCTTTTGCGGGCCACAACTGGCACGACTTCTGGTTCCTGTAGACACTGGACGTCCCCTGCTTCCACTACGGGGCTTCCGGTTAACAGTAGATGATGGCCTGTCGCGTAAACTCTAGAGCCATGGTGAATGAAGGTGCAACGAAAACGTACCTCGAAATCCTCCCACAATGGGATTTGGGAGCTCCTCGAATGGTACCAGTAGTTGGCAGCTCCAACTAGTCGGGCCTTGGCAGTTTCTAGTGTGTACACTACTGGCCACCCATGAAGGTTAGATGTTGGACGAATATTCTCAATCCACTCGCGCGCCGAAGGAGCGACTTCAAAGCCGTCAAAGGGGCCTATGTTACAGCTCAAGTTGAGAATCACCTGGAACGTTGGCGCTGGTTGAGGTTGCGTCACGCCAGCCACAGACAGTTGTTCTAGCAGGGTAAATATCTGTCTGTTCATTTCTTAAAGGGCTTGTAGCAGTTCACGAGCCAGGATGGTGTCCCCGTGGTTGGAGTCCGTGTCTCCGCCGCCAGTCAGGTTGACTCGATCGTCGGTGTGTTCCATTCCAGGGTTAGGGTTAGCGATTTCGTGCACTGGTAAAACTCGCACTTACTCATCTGTTGGCGACTAG